AGAACACCAGGTATAATGAAGAGAGAGAGGAGAAGTTGCTTGAGAGGTGTCCTCCTGGCCATGAGGGCACAAAGTTGGTCGAGATACCCGCCACAATTCTTGATGCATCTGGTGCCATCATTGCATGGTATGTCCCAGATGCCCTGACTGATGCCACCCAGGTGTGTAATATATAGTGTTACTCGATGGATATTGAACATTAAATGGTGCCTACAGAAGGAAATTTGGGTGGCCTCTGATTTGCTCGCTCCAATCCTTGAAAAAAGTGTCAAGCTTGACAGCAATTGGCGAACTAATCAAGAGTGGTTCAAACCAAGCTCAGAAAATGATGTCTTAACTCCCAGATGCATCAATTTGTCTCTGGCATGGTTTCAACAGGGGCACAAGGTAGGATCTGGTGCGATGGTGATTTTGGTAGTCAAACTCATGAATCCCCTAGAATCAGTCAGATCTGGAGGTATCTGCATCATTGAAGGGGGCACCCTCCAAGAAGATCCTCAAAGCCATTGCAAGGCCAGCAGCCATTGCAACAGCAGCACTCAGGGTGATGCATCCTGAGCAGTACTGGGCAGGTTTGCGAGCCTTTTCAAGCCTTGGAGAAAAGGCAGAAAGCAAGGAACTGCCAAAGATGTCAGAGACTCTCCAGTACTGGGCATCTATGTTCAACAGCCTGTCCATCATTTCTAATCAGGAAACCCCCAATCATCAAGACCATTTATCTATTCCAGAATGTTTTAACATTCTCACTACTGTGGGGAATTATTCTAATGCTCAGATGAGCATGCCAAGCCTTCAGCTGGAGTTCAGGTACAATCTGGGTTGCATGATTGCATTTTCTGGAAGGATCATGAGACATGAGGTTCATGCAGTGGAAGGGGATTGGATTGCTTGGGCATGGTATATGAGGGATTCTGTTCATATTTATGCCAGGGTTCTGTCATGTGGATGGGCTAGGGTGGATTACAAACAGTGAAAGATCAAACAAGTAGAAATTGTAGTTACCTGTTAAGAACCATGTTGCTCAAAGGAGAGAGAGACTGACTCAGAGGGGCTTGGCCTCAGCTCGTACACTGTGCCCCTTACCCAAGTATGTGCCCTTCATTTCATATGAGGTCCGATGATGGTCCAACAAAGTCCAGAGGACTTCTGGAGGAGTGCAGGAAACGTCCAGAGGAGCATGGGAGAGTTTCAGAGGAATGCAGGAAGTGCTCAGGAGAGTTCCTACTGCAAGGTAATACTTCTACAGGAAACAGGATTGAAGGATAGGAGGTCCGAAGGTCCAGAGGACAGGAGGACAGGAGGATGGAGGACAGAAGGGCAGGATGATGAAGGACAGAAGGACAGGATGTCCAAAGGTACAGAGGGCAGGATGTCTGAGGGTTAGGAGGACAGGATGTCCAAAGATACAGAGGGCGGGATGTCCGAAGGACAGGACACCTGGAGGTCTGGAAGGAATAGGGGCTACATCAGACGGAGTCCAATGTAGAAACAAACAGAGGTAGACTATCCTAAGGTAGAGTTGGAGAGAACAGGGATTGGACCTAAGTCCGGAAAGAGGGTAAGTGCTGGAAAGGCAAAGCTCCAGCCTAGGGAATCAATCCCTAGGCCTGATGGATAGGACAGACTTAGGTGGACCAAAGTCCAAGAGAGGATTGGGCAAGTAGAGCAAAGTCTAAGATGATATTCAAACTGAGGAACTACATGAGTATCTACAGGGGTTATATACTGGACAATATCTGAGGGGATCAGTAAGCAAAGGAGCAAGGCTATGTACGAGCATGTGGAAACACATTAGTAAGTAAGATGGAACATAAGTAAATGAACTCGGAGATGAAGACTCATACAAGGATCAATAAGCAAGACAGAACAAGAGGTAACTGAAAGCCAGAAAGGCAGAGATGTCTAAATGGGGATAGGTGCAGGATATCGGACAGAGGGCAGGAATACATCTGGAGATAGTTATGGTTGATATCCAGAGGTCCGGAGATCTGAGGATCCAGAAGGTGAGGTGGATACAGGACTGGGATACGATAAGGTGGATATAGTCCTGAATCCAAGACAAGGTGAAGTCTGGATGTCTTGCTGGATGGAGTGCACATAGGGTGGACAGGATAGGATGGTACAGATCAGGCTAGCAGTGAGGATCCAGAGGTCCAGAGCTCAGGGGTAAATCCAGAGTGGAGTCGATCCTACTGAGGTGTGGAGCACACAGCAGAAGGGGATCTGGCAATGAGTCAGATATGGGGTCTAGATGTAGGCTTGGAAGGCGTGGGAATATTATGGAATGTGAGTCCAGATTGTGGGATATGACATTACCCATGTTAGCACCTACTGTCAAATACCAGATATTAGATCTCTGGATCTCAAATATTTGAGCCTTAATATCCAGAACTTGACACTTGATAGTCAGAACTAGTTACTTGCTATATTCAGGATTTGATATTCAGAACTTGATATTCAACATTCGATGCTCAATGGTCAATATTCAATACTTGATACTCAATAGTGGACATTTGGAACTCAATATTCAGAATTTGACATTCCATAGTCAGGTCTCAAATATTGACACCTGACTATCGAATACCAAATACCAAATACCAAGTCCCTAATATTGAATATTGAGTCCTGAATATTGACACCCAAATATTGAATATCAAGTCCTGACTAGTGAGTATCAAATATTGAAACCTGACTTGATAGTCAGGTGTTGATATTTGAGATTTGGGTGTTGATAGTCAGGACTTGATATTCAGTATTCAGTATTCACTAGTCAGGTCTTGATATCTGAATCTCAATACTCGATACTCAATATTCACCATTCAGGTCTTGATATTTGGGAGTCCACATTCACAACACAATATACAATTGTCTGTACTCAATACTTGATATTCAGTATTCAGGACTTGGCATATAACATTAGGTTAGATATTTGGAAGACAGTATGTCATTTTCATGGACTTTGGACTTCGACATTCTGAACTCAAGGACTAGGACTACTCTCCTCTTCCTCTCTTCAATCTGGTTAGGATGCCGGTGTACACTTCAATCTCTGCCATCTTTTCACTGATGCCCTCTTCTTGCTCCTCAACCAATGTCTGGAGGCATTCTCTAAGCCACCTCAGTCCCATCAGTAATGGAACTGAGGTGTTATCCACCTGCTCAGGAAGAATCAGACCATTGTCCTCAATGCCACCCTAGAACAGATTAATCATTACTCAAGTAAATTGTTCATAGTTCTTACTAGCCAATGCTGGTAGTGAAAGATACAGCAACCCATTACCCGGTCCCATTGCCATAATTCATCCAGGATTGCAGTGCATCTGATCCACCATGCAGTATCATAGCCAGAGATAATCTTGGAGGGATCTCCCAGATCTACAATATCATGAAAGAGACATAAGTGGGATGAAAAGACGTGGTCTGGAACCATGGTCCAGGTGAGCTGGGGAAACAACTGAAGAATATGAGTGACCAGGTTTGGAACAACCAAGATGATGTGCCTTGCAGCCAAGTACTGCAGGATGGGTGTCACAAAAGTCTGTTGGAAATCTCAGCATTGACCACCACAGTCATCAGTCTCTTACAGCGATCTCCCATTGCAGCCTGGCTTTAAAGTGCATGATCTGAGCAGCAGAAGGCTTCTTGGTATTGGTAGCCTCTGTCTGATATTGGGAGATAGATGCTTGGATGCACGATGCAGCCATTGACATTGTGGCTGCAATATCTGCAAGACTGAGTGTGAGGGGTCAGTATTCATTGCCAGAATCCATGGTATTAGAAGGGGATGCAGGAGGAGTATGCAATACAGGCATGGCTAGTGCAGGAGTATGACGCTGGAAATCACAATCACAATGCCAGTTGGTTTGGATGTGAAGATATGAGCCACTGGTTGAGGGATAAAATTTTTCAAACTCCGATGTTTGTTCATCTGGGCATTTCCTGAGACTAAAATGTTTGGGTTGAAGTAGCTGTTTCATATCATTGGCAAAAAAGTTCATTCATCTCAAGCATCTATGAACCCGCTCTGCCAGTCTTAAAATGCTGCCTGGGCATCCTGTGCCAGTAATGAATACATTTGGGATTGCCTTCCCAAGTAGCATGAATAACCTGGAAGGTGTTTCACCAATTATTCCTGCATCCTGTCATTTCTTCCTTCCATTGATCCCATAGGGCCTTTGCCCAAAGCCAATGAACTTGGTAAACTTTGGATGGGTCCCATCAGCTGAGCACAGGATATGTCAAGCATGCCCAAACTCACATTCCTCATTCCACATGTGATCTGGACCCCCCAGGTCCACATTGACGGACCAGAACCAAGCAAGGGACTCATTTCACTGACCTTGAGCATTTGGATTGCCAATGGCAGTGCTGATTTTGAGCTGCTTCTGAAGCAGTGGTTTGTATTTCTGAAGCTGGTCTTGCCCCAGCTCAAGTTGCATCATTTGCTTCTGGGTCTTTGTATATATACTGGCATGGAGGGACACTGCCTGCTGCACCAATGTCACCTGGGACTGAGCTCAAATTTTCAGGGCTTGAGATTTGGCCTGCCTAACTGTTGTTTGGAACAGGATCGCCTTGTTGCACAAGTGAATCCAGAGGTTGTGAAGGGCATCATTGGCCTGCCCTTCATGAAGTGACATCTCCAGTGGAATCAGATCCTCTGCCATACAGTGTCAGACTCCTACCCATTGGCGGGTGTGTAAGAGAGCCCCTGACATCCAACAGCCACAGACCAAATACAACCAAATGCTATTTCTCTGATGATTTACCGAAACTTTTGGGGCTACTTACACACCCAGCTGACTGGCAAAACTTGCAGGTGGCATGATGTTTGCCTCTGTTGATTTCGCCTGTTATCACTCCATTCAGACTGACTTGTGCGAGTGACATGCTCAGTGTGACAATACCGAGTTTATGTAGGGTTATTTAATTTTTGTCAATGCCATTTTCATTTGCCGCAATATGCATCAGTGATGGCTTCGCCCCCCCTAAACTACAATATACCATCTATAGCTACCATATACACCATGGTCCATGAACGGTTCGGCTTCATACCTTGTAATTGGCAAGTGCAGTCTGCCCAAGCACAACTGAAGAAGAGAGATGTTGTCACTTTGTCACCTACAGGCTCTGGCAAGACACTCACATTCTGGATTCCTTTATTATTCAATGATGATGGCATCACCATCTTGATCACTCTGCTGATGATCCTCGGAGACAAAAATGTCATCGAGCTACAAGAAGTCAATATACCTGTTGTGAATCTGTCCGCTGCAACAGCCACAGACACGATATTCGAGGTGAGATATAATTTAAAGCTTGAATCTTATGACTTACCTTGTACATCAAACAGGAAATTGCCACCCAAAAGTTTCGGGTCATAATTGTTAGCCCCAAGAGAATTCTGTCAGACCATCGCTTCAATACCTTGTGGAAGACACCCCAATTTGTCAACAAACTCTTCAGCATCACCTTTGATGAGGTGCATTGCATTAGTCAATGGGGTGGTGACTTTTGCCCACAAAGATATTGATGTGTGAGTGTCAGGATACTGATAAAGGTGAGTGCAAATCTCCGAGCCTTGTTGCACTAAATTATTCTTTGCTGACTCGTGAATCTTGTCCGTGCTTTGGAGAAGATGTTTGATGAAGTCTGAAATGGTCATCCTGTTGTCCTCCAGGCACTGTAGTGCATTGTTGAGCTTTTTGGATATTTGAGCATCCATCAGTTGAGGATTTATATGTTAGTATGTAGTATTATATTCCACAGCATGAGTATGTAGATGAGTACTTGTCAATTAACATGCCATTCAAGCATGTCGAATGTTGACAATGAATTCTCATGAGCATTGACATAAATTAAATAACCCTACATAAACTTGGTATCATCACACTGAGCATGTCACTCGCACAAGTCAGTCCAAATTGAGTGATAACAGGTGAAATCAACAGAGGCAAACATCATGCCACCTGCAAGTTTTGCCAGTTGGCTGGGTGTGTAAGTAGCCCCAAAAGTTTCAGTAAATCATTGGAGAAATAGCATTTGGTTGTATTTGGTCTGTGGCTGTTGGATGTCAGGGGCTCTCTTACACACCTGCTGATGGGTAGGAGTCTGATACAGTGTCTGCTTTGATCTACCCTGAGGTTTGATGGCAATGGGATGACAGTGAGCTCAGGGGAGTTTGCCCATGTATTAGATGTGTTGGTGAAATCTGCTGGGTCATCATCAAGATCATTGTCTGCATCAAATCCCTCTCCCAGGTGCGTAATAGCAGACTCAGTGAATCCATCTATCTGGCCTTGGAGATGATCACATTGCTGGGTGATGTCTAATCTCTGTGTCTCTGTAGTTCTTCCAATTCTTCAGAGCTTGACAACCAATGCAATTTGAGCCTCTTCAATTGCCAACCCCATTGATATCCATGTTGCCACTGATCTGTGAGCAGGTGCTGCATCACAGGCATTACCCTCCTCTAGCAGTCTAAGCTCAATCTCCTTTTTGCTCGGTGCTGAGTGCAACAATTAATTCTAACTTTGATGCAGCCAAAGTCAACTTACCCTTCTTGATATTAATCTCATATACATCCATTGCTGCAGGATCATTTATTCTGCTGGACTGAGTGATCCTCTCACTGGCTAACCATTCTTTCTTTGAAGCTGCAGGTGCTGCTTCATTGAGTCTGTCAAAAGCCTTTTCACTTTTGGCAATGCCATTCTTTGCCTGCTTGTATTTATGGCAAAGAGTCCTTTTCATGTGGATCATCTTGCAGAAATTGGAATCATTCATCTGATAATCAAGACATTCCTTTTGATCCGGGGATGACATTCCCCAAGCAGCAGGGGAAATCAGGTTGAGATGTGACCATAGGGTCTCCATGATCTCACCATTGATCTGACCAATGCCTTCAATAAAATTCAACACATATTGGACATAGCAGCTGTCCTGATGTCCGTGGACATGCCACAACCCAATTCCAGGAATGATGGTCAATTCTGGAACCATTTCAAGAAATCAGCTTTGATCCACCCAAACCCAAAAGTGCTTGTTGTATTGACAGTTGATGTCATAGAAGGTGACAGCCCTGGTTATGCCTTCCATGTTGTGCTGGGCAGCCTCACAAAGGGGATAATCCATGTTCATTTGTCTGCAAATGATGCATCATTGACTCGTGAATGTAGAATGGCATGGTTGGCTTGCCTTTTGCCTTTCTGAAAATCTACCATCAAGTGAGGGACAAAGCAACTGTGTCAGGCACAGGTAACTCCCCCAATACCTGTGGACTCCAGCTTGTGCTGAGCTGCATTTGCTTGATTCACTGCCTGGTCATTGTTGCAGCTCAATTTTTCCAATGTGTCAGCAGCCTCTGCAAGATACATTTTATACCTGTCCTTTCCCACCATGAATCCCAACCCATTGGAAAGCCACACTTCATCAAATGGCTTGATGGGATGCAGGTGTTTGGCTTTGAAATTTCTGTCCATAACAAATGACCAGGTGTATTTCCAGCTTGGAGTTGTTATTATCGCTGAGATGACTTCAGTATCGAACTAGACTCACTCATCAAGTGATTCATCCCCTGACAAGGATATGTTAATCCCAGGTTGAGGACATGCAGGGCAAAACAATGTGAGATCTCCTGCATTCGGGTTGTCAGAATGATGGCCAAATCCATGCCATTTCATGGCCTTCAACTGCCTCCACTGTTGAGTGACTCTCATGAGCTCTCTGTATTGGTCCTTGCCATGTGATTTGTCAATATAATGTCCTTTAGATGTCGGAGATTTGGCATTACCAGAACAAGATGTGGAAACATGCTCAAGGTCATTCGCCAGAGCTTGCTGTAATAGTTCATTGCCAAGGTGCCACATTCGAGGTTGTCCAATAGAAAATCATCGAGCACCCTGAAGGTGAACAAAGTCTTTGGCTTGTTAAATGATGTGGGAAAAAATCCATGTCAAAACATTTGAATGTCTGGACTCATGGCATTTGGACAATCACAGCATTGAACCTTGAGGCGATGAACTCCAGACTTGTCAATGATGACCATGGTGTTTTCCTTTGGCTGGAACTGGGGTCCCAACACAGATGGTTGATCTTCAGGCTCAAGCTGGTCTTCATGCTCATCTTCTTTGAACAAATCCCACCTATCTGTGAGGACCGGACATTGTTTGCCATCATGACCAAGGTGTATGACAAGTCTGACATGAGTGAGACAACTCTGCTCGAAGAATTGACCATTCCATTGACTGATCCAGTGGAAAGGATTGCAATGATGTTGACTCCTGCAACAGTCAGTGCAATATAGTGGCTCCCCAAGACAATCTTGACATTTGTAGACCCCATCCTGGTTGCAGATGACGCATCTCCTATCTTCTGGTGGAGCTTCTTGATCCAGGAGGTGATGCAGATATGATTCCTGCCTTGGCAGCCATTGCCTGAGGTAGTCATTCTGACTCTGCATTTTTTATGCTTAGCTATCATTTGAATGACGATCCAACATTTTACATGAACTTGCCATGGTTTTTAGGAGTTGCAAAGGCTCAAATGACCCTTGGTCATGCTCATAAGCATTGTCAGGAAAGTCTTCCCAAGGAGGTGGTGCCTCAACAGGCTGAAGTGTTGGTGATTCTGGGGGAGAGTTAGGCATGGTGTCATATCTGCATATCCAGATCTCAGATCCAATCCACATCTTATCTCCGATCCTATCCACATCTTATCCCCCTCCAACATCTCGTCATCCAATCTGTCTACTCATCTGGTCTGGTCCACAATTCATCTGAATCCACAACCAGCACTCATCTCTTTTTGGTAATCCCCTAACTCTGGTATTTCGGTTATCTGTATATCTGTCCCACTCCCTGATCCATTACCTATGCTTCATTTCCGTTTCATTATTTGTGATCTGTTTCTACTTACCAATAGACTATCCATATGCTTTGTACATAGCCTCAGACCCTGCTGATTGATCATTCCATTAGATACCTATAGTATATAACCTCCTGTAAATCTCTGTAACACTTCAGTTTGAATATCAACTTAGTTCTGCTCATTCCTGTCCTCCAGACCTGAGTACCTCTACTCTCATCACCCTCCAAGACTTAGGGTTGATTCCTATAGTCTATCCACATCCGCCTCTGTCTACGACAGCCATTACTGCTAGTTTCTAGTCTGGACTTGTCTGGATTAGCCCTATGATACTTATCCTGCATCTGGAAGTCATCTGGATCTGCTACGCTACCTGTCTGACCCTCTGGATGCATTAGTCTTGCCTTCCTGAAATAAGGGGCAATACTTGAGTAAGGGGCACAGTGCACGAGCTGAGGCCAAAGCCCTTCAGATCCATTAGCCTTGAGTACAACCTTAACACATGGACCTGTAGGCATGTTGTTTTGTGCTAGCAAGTGGGACCTTGACCCAAGTTTTCCTACCTTTGCTGCCCCTTGCTTCTACCCTGTGGGATTTTTGCAGTGGGGTGCATCTACCTATCTTCGTCTTATTTTCTGATGTTGCAAGCAAAGCATTAGCTCAGGAAGGTCGAATGAATTGTTGTTGCAATATGATGTTATGCAGTCTTGATGCATCATTACAAATTCATTTCCACCAATGACATTGCATCCAATATGGGTCAATTAACTAACTGTTAGGCTTTGCTCAAAGTTCAACTTGTCACCATTATTACTTCCACCTTGCTTATCCTCAGCCCATTCTGCAATCTCATTCACCATGGCAAGATCAGGTCACTCCACTCAGTTGACTTCTGGAAGACATAGGGCACATCAACTGTTACAGTGCCCCACTCTTTTTCCCATCATCACTGTGGACTCCTATATGGCTGACCTTCTAATGCTTCCTTTTCACTGTGCTGTTTCCTCATGGTCTCCCTTATCTCTGACTCATACCTTGTTTTCCCATGAACCTTCCTTTCTTAGTAGTTGTTACCCTTTGCCCAGCCTGGTCTGTGCATGATTCCCTTACATATATAAACCCTAGTTACCACTTGTATTTTCTCTAACTTGAATCTACTTGGTTCTCTTTGATACTCGAACTCTAGCTCCTTGGGAAGGAGGCTAGCCATTGTTCCATTTGAACCTTAGATCCTGTGGGAGTCTAAGTGATCGCTCCTGAGGGAGGCGTTGACTCGATAAGGCTTAGTCCTTGATCGACCCTGATCCTGATTCCTTTATTGGAACGATGCTCTATCCGAGTTCGTAACAAAAGATTCAAGTTTCCTTTGAACCCCTCCATCTGTAGGGCTTTACTCTTTGAACCCACAAAACTGATTGATTGCCAAAGTGGCACCCTCCAAGAAAAGCAAGAAGGCTTTCTCTGAATGAACTGAGATCCCATACAGTCCCTATCCACCCAACTCTCCTAGATGAACCTCTTCATCATGAGGATCCTTTGACACTCCTTGCACTCCTGTTCTCCCTACTC